CTTGACCACTTGTTCCAAACTTCCAATTCCACCTTTGTAGGCTGTAGCAATCTTGGATTATTGGGTCATCTTTGTACACAGTACACTGTAACTTACAGGCTACAGCCATAATATTTTAACAGCCATGGATAATGGATTTATATACAGCCAKACAGGTAACACCGTAACAGGCTAAGAAAGGCTACATAAGAGGCTAAAAGCTTTGATTTATATCATCAAATCTGTTAATCAAGGATCAACTCAACTCAAGTAATAATATTTTAAACCAAATCAATCAAAATATCAAACAAATTTTAGACCTAAATCACCTAATCACTAAGCAAATTTATACACATATTATACATACGGACATATCACATACCGACATACGCACATACGGTAGAATTTTATACATATGGGAATGGGGAGAAGAAGTCAAGAAGCAAAGCAATAAGACTATAAGAGTTACCGTCGAATCGTCGATAATAGCACAGAGTTTGTAGTTCGCACACGGTCAGTCGTAGTTCGCACACGGTCAGTCGTAGTTCGCACACGGTCAGTCGATAATAGCATAGAGTTACCGTCGAATCAGTCGATACAGGCAGAGGGCAGAGGCGGAACTAAGGTCAGTCGTAGTTCGCACACGGCACACTCACACAGTCGTGAACTCACTGCCGCACTGGACTGGATTCTGGAGGAATGTCGCCGATTGCCGAAGCCGGAGGAGTTTCCGTCGAACGGTCGAAGTCGAAGTCGAAGTCGCACATGCACTCGCAGGTTCGTACAATCGCACGGTCGTACGGTCTCACAGTCTGTAGAATTGGAACTTGGAAACTTGGAATGGAAGCATGGAACTTTGAAATGGAACTATGGAAGCAGAATCAGGATGAAAGTGGAGGGGCCCAACAATTTTTTATTATTAAAAAACCTTAAATGRATCATACGTGTAATGTATTTCTAAAAAAAACCTCAGGGGCCATGGCCCCTAATAGCCCAGCAGGCCTTCCGCCTCTGCGTTCTAGTCTTCTAAATAGAGATGTTTTTACATTATAAGTTAAAAGTATATTAACCCACGTCATGTGCGACTCACATGTCGGTCTTCCTTCCCACATTCTTCTTCGTTGAGCATGAATAACGTGGCCTAATTCCAAATCCAATCACAAGAATATAATTAATTTCAAAAATAAATTCAAACATATTCATTAAAATTTCATTCATAGAAAACTCATGTAGATTAAAAATCCTAAATTTAATTATAAAACAAATATAAAAAAACAATAATTTCTTTAAGAAAACTATATTAATTAGAAAATCGTTACTGTTTAATAATCTCTAAAATAGGAAAAAAAAAGCCATTATTTAGAAAGAAATGAAATTAAACAAGTAGCAACAACGGATTATGTGTTTTATATAGTGGATCTGTGTGTTTTATTTGGTGAATGAATCTGTTTGTTTCATTTGGTAAATCTTGTTATCAAAATGACAATTATGCCCTTTTTTAATTTAAAAATAGATTTCAATTAAAACCATAGGATCAAAACCAAATTAAGGCTTAGATCAGTTCTCATGGTTCTCAACCTTTTTTTGGTCCTCACAAGATTATACCCTATATTGATCAAGGTTCTAAATGGCGTGAGGCATGGCGTGGAGGCAAGATCAAACCTCAAGTCTTACCAGGTACGATGAGGTCATGGCATTTTTCAAAGCGCGACTTAAAGCGGCAAATCTTTATATATAGTATATGAACGATACTGATTAAACAAATTAAATCCATATAAAATTACAAACAAATGAAGATACATGCATTCATAATTTCATATCAAATAGATAAAATTTACAAAAAGTGATCGTAACAAAAAGAATGTTTTATTAATGATTTCATAATCCATATATCTCTAATCTAAGTGGCCGTTTATCAAACACTTACCCGAGTAAGCGTTTACCAAGTCACATTACCTTACCGGATGAATATGGTAAGGACCAAGAATCTTACACGGTAAGAGCGAGACAAAGACCAAGAGTCTAACCCGGTAAGGACGACGACTCTTACCATGGCAAACGATTACCGGGTAAATTGTTGCATACAATGTCGTTTTGGTGGACTAAAATCTTACCCGGTAATTAAATAACAATGTTAAATTTTACCCGTAAGTGCGTACAAGGTAAGTATTTGGTAAACGATCCCTAAAATTCTAACATCATATGCCGAAAACATATTAGGGTAGATTAGATTAGATGTATCTTATAAAGAAATTATCCTTCCATGTAATCTTCATCGTTTATTTTCATCATCGAAATTAAATTCAAAATCTTCCCCGCCTTCAATTTGTGGTTAATGAATTCCCCCCGTGAATAATTAGAAACATTCATATTTGATTTAATAAGCCATGATATATATATATATATATATATATATATATATATATATATATATATATATATAAGGTCAAAAAGAAAACCAAAAAATCCTCATTCATGCCTTATAACCCACAGTAACGCGTCATAACGTACCATACTGCAAGCCATGCCTTAAGAGTCTTGCCACGGGTTTTAACGTGGCGGTGAGGCCACGCCTCATCGTTATATGGCGTGCCATAATGCTGCCATAACACATTTTTTAGAACATTGATACACACACACATACACACACACACACACACACACACATATATATATATATATATATATATATATGGTTCACGTTATACCAGTCTATTTTTGTGAGACCACTTTTTTAGACCTGAACTTCATAGCAAAGTGAAGGTAAAAAAAAATCGAACATTCATAGTATTATGCTGTGTAGTTTCAAGTGTAAAAAAAAAGTAGTCTCACAGGTCTCACGAAATCAGGTTGGTCTCACGTGATCCCAAATCTCTCTCTTTATATTTATATTTATATTTATATTTATATTTATATTTATATTTATATTTATATTTATATTTATATTTATATTTATATTTATATTTATATTTATNTTATATTTATATTTATATTTATATTTATATTTATATTTATATTTATATTTATATTTATATTTATATTTATATTTATATTTATATTTATATTTATACTTATACTTATATTTATACTTATATTTATATTTATCAAAGTTACATATATTAGTGATAAGTTGGGTTGGGTTAAGCTAGGCTAACCCAATTCCAACCCTCTTAATGGGCAGTTTAGCGGATTGAGTTTAATT